CAAACAACAACTGGAGACATTTGGAACATAATGCCTTTTGCTGTAACAGAATACTATTTATACAAGAAAGGAATTGTGCAACCAAAAAGATAAATCTTAAAAATGTGAACACAACTGAGTTTTTTGATCTTACACCCACCACCATCAATAATCTAAACTTTAATCATGAAAATGTGAGGTTTGTACTTCACTATGGGCCTTTGCAGACTGCCAGAAATAGTGCAAATTGAGTCCACTTTAAGGGTTAGGGTTAGTGCTAGGGAATCATGGGAATTGTTTTTTTTTCTGAGACATTGAGCCTTCTCTGTCAAAGAGCTCTGGTGCCACAATAAAATACAGTTCCCATGATTCCCTAACCCTAATCCTAACCCTTAAAGTGGACTCAATTTGCACTATTTCTAGCAGTCTGCAAAGGCCCTATGTTGAGAACCAAATTTGTCAGTTTGCCTATAAAGAGAAGGGGCAGGATTTCATTTGCATTAGTGGGTGGGAAAGAATAGTGAAATCCATTCCTTACTTATTCTTCCTCCCCAAACTCAGCAACATTCAGACATTTCCTATCCACCAATTCATTTCATGTGTCTGTGCTAAGCTGGGGGGAAACATCTTAAATCAATAGAGGAAGGAAAGGAGGGGGTAGATTTTCCTTGCTTTCCTCCACTCCCTTAGTTAAATGATTAAATTTTCAGCCCACCTGATTCCGATGAAGAGGCTTAAAAGAAACATTTCCAACATGTTCATGTACTCTTTGTCAAACATTGGAAGAAAAGGCTGGAAAATAATTTTTGAGAGCCAGAGTAGTGCAGTGATTTGAGGATTGGACTACAACTCTGGAGACCAGGGTTCAAATCTCCACTTAGCCATGGAAAAGTCTCGCACTCCAGCCTCAAAGGAAGGCAAGTCTCCCACTCCAGCCTCAAAGGAAGGCAAAGACAAATCCTCTCCAAACAAATCTCACAAAGTCCTGTGATAGGTTTGCCTTAGGATCGCCATAAGTCAGAAATGATCTGCAGGTATACAACAATAACCATCTGATTCCCAAACTGGTGACAACTGAAAAGAATTGGTATGACTGTAAGGCAAGAGAGCATGTTTATAAACCTGGTGATAAAATATTGATTCTTCAGCCTAAAAAAGGGAAAAAAGATGCAGTTTATATGAAAAAGACCCATGAAGATTCAAGCTCGGTTGAATGATGTTAATTGTCAGCTTAATTTAGGGAAAAATAATCAGTCTAAGGTGGCAGATACCAATATGTTAAAACCATATCACAGAAGGAAATTATGACCCCAGAACACCACAAAAAAGAGTTAGGAGCTTTTAAAAAGAAGCCTCAGGAGATATGTACGCAATTAGGGGCAGGCTAGACAGACAAGTTGTTAATGGACTAGTTGGATGGATAACTTGGTACTTATAATGGGAGAAGTAGCCAAGAAACCCCTAAGTTCAGAGCCAAAGACCACCTTTTATGAAAGGATTAGTCAGTCCTCAGATAATGAAATCTCAGAAAGGAAAGTTGGTGAACACTTGCAGTTCACTAATAAGAAAGACGCTGAGAGAAGCTGAGAAGTCTCTATGACCAGCTCAATGGGAAGCAAAACCTGTTTAATTTGTTTGGGTTTTTTATTGTTTAAACAAGAAAACACATACAATAACATAGAAGTCAAAATCATTAATCACATGCTTCTTACATTTACAAACTTCTTTGTTAGAACACTGGCTTCCAACCCTAGCAGTAAAGGACAATATTACTATATGCAGTAGTATTGTCCTTTGTCACATGCTTAAATTTGATTCTATCCCAACTTGTAAAGACATTTACATATCTACAATGTACATACTAATCTCTTTTATGTCCTTAATCTGTAAATCCAACAACAGCAAGCTCTCCCCTAATATTACTTAGATATCTCATAACATCTTCAAAATCACTCACAAATTTGCCTAAGCTTTTTCCCCTCAGAAGACAATTTATCTATTTCTGAGATTTGTTAATCTTATTATGCGATTCTGCACTGTTAGTATTGTATTACTGTATTATTCCAATTTTGGGCATAGATAATCTTGGCTGCTGCTTTCATGTAGAATATAATTCTTGCATTTGTACTATTGATTTCATCATCTATTATCCCTAACAAGTACATTTCAGGATTCACTTGGATCTTTAGCTTTATAATTTTCTCAATTTGGTGGACATGGTTCCAATATGTTTTCACTTCTGCACAAGTCCACCATGAGTGGTAGAAAGTTCCTATTTCTTTCCACATTGTCAACATTTATTTTCAGTTTTTCTGTACATTCTGTACATTTTAGATAAATTATCTTATGTTAAGATACCATCTGAAATGCATTTTAAAGAGATGTTCTTTTATATTTTGATACGAAGTATATTTCATTTCCCCCCTACTTTTTCTCATTTATCCAATTTGATGGTGCAAATGATAGTCTGAGTCCATTTTATCACTTAATCTTTCAGTAGTTCATCTTCTGTATCTAGGAGTATTGCATATATTTTTGATATTTTTTCTCTGTAATGAGAACTTCCTAAGTCCTTCATTTTCATTTCTATGCCATTTAGTTTTATTTCTATCCTCATTTTCTCTCTCAATTGTCTGTATAACAACCAATGGCATTTAATTCCCTCCAAATTTAATTCTTCTTCTGTTTTGATTTTATAAGGTTTTTCTCAGAAGGAAAACATGTCCCCATGGGTGATCTAATTATCATTCATATTTTATTTTTTATAAAATACTTCATTTGGCAACTTTGAGTGGTAGGTGTGAAGCCCATCTGCTTCAACCCTAATTGTAATAAAACATTCTTCTTTAATATTGCCCAATGGGAAGCAAAACCTGTGGGGGCATGGGCCATTTTGAATATAATTGCTCAGGTCCAAAGAGTACCCAGTGAAATATATGAAAGTGCAAGGCAAACTATATAAGGAATCCCTGAAGTGTAAATATAAAATGCTGTGGAAGAAAGATCAACAGTTGGTAGTACCTGCAAAGTACAGAGTAAGACTGTTGGGGATAGTGCAAACAGGCCCTTTCAGTAGTTATCTGGGAATAACAAAAACCACCCAGCAACTGTCCCAAAATTTTTATTGGCTCCTCCTTCACAGGGAGGGATCCAGAAGACCTCAAAGCAGGTCCAGGGGAAATATCCCTATACACGCTTGTTGTTGTGTGCCTCCAAATAGTTTCCAACTTATGATGATCCTAAGGCAAACTTGAGGTAAGATATGTTCAGAGGGGGTTTGTCTTTGCCCTCCTGAGGCTGAGATACTATGACTTGCTCAAGATCAGACAATGAGTTTCCATGACCAAGCGGGGATTTGAACCTGGTCTCCAAAGTCATAGAATCATAGAATCATACAGTTGGAAGAGACCAAAAGGGCCATCCAGTCCAACCCCCCTGCCAAAATCAAACCATCCCCGACAGATGGCCATCCAGCCTCTGTTTAAAGACCTCCAAAGAAGGAGACTCCACCAGACTCCAAGGGAGTGTGTTCCACTGCCAAACAGCTCTCACTGTCAGGAAATTCCCCCTAATATTGAGGGGAAATCTCTTTTCCTGTAGCTTGCATCCATTTTTCCGGGTCCTGTTTTCTGGAGCAGCAGAAAACAAGCTAGCTCCCTCCTCAATATGACATTCCTTCAAATATTTAAGCAGGGCTAACATATCACTTAACCATCTCTTCTCCAGGCTAAACATACCCAGTTCCCTGAGTTGTTCCTCATAGGGAATGGTTTCTAGACTCTTCAATATTTTGCTCACCCTCCTCTGGACACGCTCCAGTTTTTCAACATCCTAGTCCAGTGCTCAATCACTACATCATGGCAGTTCTCAAAAATGTTGGTGGAGTGTGCAGTGGTTTGGTGTGTTGGACAGGGCTTGGAGTACACATATTTTAATATATTTATTTGTGGTTGCACGCCTTCAAGCTGTTTCCAACATATGGTAACCCTAAGATGAACTTACCATAGGGTTTTGTTGGCAAGATTTTTTCAGAGGGGCATTGCCTTTGCCTTCATCTGAGGGTAAGGGAGTGTGACATGCGCAAGGTCACATAGTGAGTTTCCATGGCTGAGCGGGGACTGGAACCCTGGTCTCTGGAGTCAAAGTTCAACACTCAACCCACTACACCACACTGGCTCCTAGGTACCCTCAACAGGATCTAGTTCTGAGTAGATGTGTCTAGGACTGCTTTGCTCAAGAGATAAATGGTCACTAGAAATTGTATTTATTCATTTTATACTGATCATCTTCAGTGTACCTGAGGGAGGATACAGACAACTGGAGAACTACTGTGGAAAATCTGAACCCAGTTCACATCAAGCTCAATAACATCACTTTCCTCTAATAACTTAAAATAAAACCTTTGTATCCAAATAATTTATTTGTCACTTAACTGAAATCAATACAAAAGTACTACAGAAACAAACAAGAAATAAATATTAACTATTTTTATTCCTTTACCTCAGAATGCCAGAAATGGGCTCTTATCTGTGAAAGTTTACATTATAATGAACCTGTTAGCATTTAAACATGCCCTATGACTCATGGTTATAAGGCTGCAATAGTGCAATTCAATATATGTTTTTTCAAACCTAAATCCTACTGCCTGAAGGCTTACAAGTAGGCAGGTAGGACTACAGCCTAATACGGTTACCTCTCTTTAAGTGGCCTTTTCCACGTGGTTGAGAAACAGTAATTTACACCCAGCCTCCTGCCCACATAGTGAATATTCTGCATATGTTTGTGCAAGCATACATAGCCCAAAGCATTTCCTAGCTTTTTTAATCCACACACACTGTACTACTAACTCTCTTACCAGTCACACCCTCTGTGTCCCAAAATGATAAATCATTTGTATTCCACAATGGTGAAAGATCTATGTTCTACAAGCCAAACTTTCACTGATAATTTTTGACTATGAAATTAACAATAGGATTTATTTCTGAGCAAATACAGAGCAAATCAGGCTGTAATCCCTAGCATGACATAATGAGCAGTCCTACTAATGGCAACTGAATCTTATGTGTTAATTACTATCAAGTCAACTTCTACCTATGGTGACCTTATGAGTGAGAGATTTCCAAGTCAACCTGATATCAATAGCCCTATTGATGTCTTGTAAATTCAAAAAGGTTGCCTACCTCTGCTCAAGACTTCCTTGATTGAGTCTATCCATCCATAATATGATCTTCTTCTTTCCCTACTGCCTTCTGCCTTATTGAGCATTATTCTCTTCTAGTGAGTCATGTCTTCTCATGATATGTCCAAACTACAACAATATCAATCTTCTAGAGCAAGTTCATGCTTGATATGCTGTTGGACCCATTTGTCTGTCATTTTTGGAAGTCTACAGTATCTACAGCATTCTTCTCCAGTACCATATTTCAAATGACTTGATTCTTTTCCTATCATCTCTCTTCACTCTTCAACTTTCACAACAAACTTTACATAGTAGTGGGTAGTGACACTGGCAGAGAATCTCTCAAGAGATAACGACAGAGGCACCACAACTAACACTTGTTAGTTGTAAGAGCCCTGGTGGTGCAGTGGTTAAATGCCTGTACTGCAGCCACTCACAAACCACAAGGTTGCATGTTCAATCCCAGACAGGGGCTCAGGCTTAACTCAGGCTTGCATCCTTCCGAGGTCGCTAAAATGAGTACCCAGCTTAGTTTACAATTGTAAACCGCTTAGAGACTGCTTAGTACAGTATGAAGTGGTATATAAATGAAGCTGCTATTGATATTGCTGCTGATGGAGAGAAGGGGGGGTTGGTGGATTATCCATCCCCTCCTATCACTTGCTCACAACTTCTCCTTGTCAAGCAGTGTGGGACTATTGGGCCTCAATGTGCAAGCCACTACATAAAAAAGCAATCACAGAGGTGGTCACCACTCACCCAACCCTTTCTACTATAGACAGGCCAGGATGGCAGCCTCTTTTGCAAACAAGCACAATCTCTTTCTCTGTCTCTGTCTCTGCCTCGCTCTCGCTCTCTCTCAATACTACACTACAATGGAGATTATCACATGGAGGATAAGGACAAGAGCAAAGCTGATTGCTCCTGTCCTTATCCCATCCTATTCGTGCGATCGGGGGAAAGATTACCACACACAGCACACTTATCCCGTCCTTCTCCCGTCTGTGAAGTGTAGTGGCCCCATCATTTGGTAATAACAGAAATCCCAATTAATAACAAATAGTGGGACCATTACACTTCACGGTCAAGAAAAGGATGGGATCAGCGCGCTGTGTGTGGTAATCTTTCCCCCTAAAAGGATGAGATAAGGACAGGAGCAATCCGCTTTGCTCTTGTCCTTATCCTTCGTGTGATAATCTCCACTGTTATAGTCCTATTATAACACTTTTACTGCTATGGCTGGCTTGTGTGGCATTCTGGGGTTTGTAGTTTAGTAAGGCCTAAAAGATGTAACATATAAGGCTATATAACTGAGCACAAAAGTCAGAATCATACAAGGCACTGTTTTCCCTAATGCCATGTATGGATGCAAGAGCTGGTCAGTGAAGAAAGTGAATAAAAAGAAAATCAACTCATCTGAGGTGTGGTGCTGGAGAAGAGTGCTTAGGATATCACAGATGGCCAGAAAGAGAAACAAATGGTTCCTAGAAAAGATCAAGCTGGAAATTTCCTAGAAGCCAAGATGATAGAGCTGAGGCTGTTAGAATCATTAAAAAGACAATGGTGCTAGCAAAGGTGGAGGGTAGCAGAAAGCAAGGAAGGCCACACACTAGATGGATGGACTCTATTATGGAGGCCATGGGCATGAATTTGCAAGAGCTAAGCAAAGCATTGGAGACCAGGGGGCTACTGGAGATGTCTTGTCATGAGTTGGGATCAACTTGAAGCCAGTTAACAACAACAACAACAGCCTAAGAACTCTGTGGCTGAGAGTTCTAAATGTCCCTCCCAAAACTGCAAATCCCAGGATTTCACAGTAGCCACTTGTAGCAGTAAAAGTGGAATTGAGCATTGGACTATGGTTTGAGCATTGGACTATGACTCTGGAGACCAGGCTTCAAATCCCAGCTGGAGCATAAAAACCCACTGGGTAACCCTGGGTAAATCACACTCTCAGCCTCAGAGGATGGCAATGGCAACCCCCCTCTGAACAAACCTTATCCAGAAAGCCCCAGGAGAAAAAAACCACCTTGGGTAGGGTAGCCATAAATCAGAAAGGATTGAAAGGCAAACACCAGTCTGGTGCCTCCGGGCCTTTGCAGACTGCCAGAAATAATGCAGCTTGAGACCACTTTAAC